CCTAATACAAGTTAAAATAAATAAAAGACCCGTACCACCTCTTGTATTCTGAAAGCTGTGCTTTCCTCATGCACAGCTCATGTGCATGTCTAGTGTACCAGGACAGGTGGTACCAGACCCGTACGACCTCTTGTATTCTGAAAGCTGTGCTTTCCTCATGCACAGCTCATGTGCAAGTCTAGTGTACCAGGACCAAAAGGTCAGCCTTCTCACCTACCTCCAATCCCTCGGCCTTTGGCAGAATAAGCACTGTTTGGAGGCTTCTGAAGAAGTCTGAAAACAAGGACCAACCCCTGCCCTTTTCTCTCTGAGCTCCAAGTGCTTTTCTCACTTCCCATCCCCTCTTCCCCCAAGGAAGGTAAAGATGCCCACGAACAAAGGATACTGTACTGGTTGCGATGCTTTGCATTTTCCTTCATTCTCTGTAACTGTTGCTGGTGACATTTCATGCTCCAAGGGTTGTAGTGTTTAAGTTGGGAACTTATATTTCCCTTTTTCTCTACACTGTAGTATAAAACTTCTGATTTCTTTAGCCACTCAAATTCTTCTTCTAACTTATGGCTACAAAGAAACAAGGACCCAGTAAATCAATTGTCTTCTCAAAATTCAAGACCAAAGAGGCACAAAAGAACTTTCTGGAATAATGGGAAGTCTGATTTCTTAATGTGGTGGTGTTTTAGTGCACAAATCTGTCAAAACTCAGTGAAGACTTCAAGAAATTATACCTTTTTCATTAAAAAGAAAAGGAAGGCCAGGTATAGTGGCTCATGCCAGTAGCACTTTGGGAGGCTGAGGTGGGTGGATTGCTTGAGCTCAGGAGTGAACCAGCCTGAGCAAGGGCAAGACCCCTGCCTCTACTAAAATTAGAAAAAACTAGCCAGGCGTTGTGGCAAACACCTGTAGTCCCACCTACTTAGGAGGCTAAGACAAAAGGATTGCTTGAGCCCAAGAGTCTGAGGTTGGTGTGAGCTACGCTGATGCCACAGTACTCTACCCAGGGCAAGAATGTGAGATTCTGTCTCAAAAAATAATAATAATAAAATAAAGACACCTGTAGTCCCAGCTACTTGGGAGGCTGAGGCAAGAGAATCACCTAAGCCCTGGAGTTTGAGGTTGCTGTGAGCTGTAACGCTACAGCACTCTACCAAGGGTGACAAAGTGAGACTCTTGGTCTCTACAAAAAAATAAAGAAAATTAAGGGGCCAGCCTGCCACTGTTTTCTATAGCAAAGAGAATAGAAGATGCAATATGAGTCTCTTGTTCCCCCCACCCCTACAAATAGGCAGCTTCCACTGCCCTCTTAGTACCACCTCTTGTATTCTGATACATCCAGGTTCCACGACTCCAAATGCTGGAGACTGGGAAAATATAAACTGAAATTCTGAGGAACAGGTCAGCCTACTTAGTTTTTATATTTTTTGAGACAGAGTCTTACTATGCCACCCTCAGTAGAGTGCTGTGGATCACTGCTAATGGCAACCTCCAACTCTTGGGCTCAAGCGATTCTCCTGCCTCAGCCTCCCAAGTAGCTGGGACTACAGGTGCCTGCCACAACACCCAGCTATTTTTTATTGCAGTTGTCTTTTTTTTTTTTTTTTTTTTAGCTAGACTGGGCTAGATTTGAACCCACCACCCTTGGTGTACGTGGCTGGCACCATAACCACTGTGCTATGGACACTGAGCCAACTTAGTTATTTTAAACATACTTTAATTTATATAATTTGTATAATTTTCATAAGCTCTGCCAAGGTGCCAGACTTGGAAGGCCCTGCACAGGGGATCCTGGGCATTTGGGGAGGCGCAACATCAATGACCACATTTTGTCCCAATGTAACCAACCCAAGGTCAAAGGCTGGTTCCTGTCATGGTCACTGCTATATTCACAGGACAAAGCATACAGCTTAGCACACAGCAGTTGTGGAAAGAGTGAATGTTTTTTTATAGCTGCCATTGCAACTGTTTATCCAAAACAATATAATCAACCCAGAGTCAAAGAGAAGTTGGGCATGTGGGCAACTGGCTGCTAGGTGACAAGGCACCTGCTAAGTCCATCCTGAGTCCTTAGCTCCAGGGAACTAGAATGCAACTAATACCTTCAATACTTCCTTCCTCTCTCATAGAACCCAGTGTTCCCCTTACCAGTCTATACTCACCTCTTCATCTTCTCCTCTTTCCGGTGCTGACGCACCCAGTCCTTGGGAGTCTTTTCTGTTTCTAGAACATGATGTTTTTTGTTTGTCCACCTTAGGAGCTTACTTTTTGGTTCACAGTCTGAATTATCTACAGTGTCCACAGTTCCATGGTCCCCCTTTAATGGATATGCTATTAAACACAAGTTCCTGTCTTCATCTTCTTCAAAGCGTACAGACACTACACCTGGAAAAGGGGGGGGTGAGGGGCACAAACAACTTTTAATTCCACAAGAAAATGCGTTCTAAGTAACATGATTGTAACGTTTGTTTTTTTCTTACCCTGTTCCTTAGTCTCTATGTTGCCAGAGGCCCCAAACTCATCTGCAAACTTAACAAATATCAAAACAGCTAGAAAAGATGACACCATACAAGACAAGCGATTAGGGAGCAAACATGGCTGAGAGTCTTCCTCTCTAATGCACTCAACAAGGCAAGAGCCAAAGAATTACAAGACACATTTTTCCATCATTGAAAATGTTTATTCATTTTTATGTTAACTCTTCTAATCCTGAGAAACTTAAAACATTGCTCTTTGTATCTTGTGGGAATTTTTAATGCCCTAAAGAGAAACTCTTGACAGCCTCAACACTTGCTTGAAAGCAGAGCCTGAACACCAAGAAACATAGGTTTGCCTGAGGGTAAGAAGCATTCAAGGGTAAGGGAAAACTGGGTAAGCAGAGCAAAATAAAGGGGCAAACAAAACAAACCACATAGCACAACAGACACCCTAGCAAAGTCTTCCCACAATGCTCCCACATGGGTGGGAGCCCCAAGCCTTTTGTCCTTCTGAAATATGTTTTTATTTGGTCTTTGCAGTCTCATATCACAAAGGAACAAAATAAACACAAGGCAGATATGGTTGGGCAGGGAGCACAGACATGTGGTGGCCTTCAAAGCAGCTCTCCCCCTTGAGTCTCTAGAACCTGACATAATTAGACAGTCTTTTGAGAAGGGGGCTGTCAGGTGGGAACATTTCAGCAGGTGCCGACGAGCGCCTTACAAACGACTGGCTGAACACCTTTCCTCCCAGGCCTCTCTGCCCCAGGATCACTCAATCTGCTCAGTCCTTGCTGCCCGCCCGCTCGCTTGCTGCAGGGGAATGCGTGCTCAGAGAGAGATGACACTTCTGAGGTGGCCCCCGGCTCTGGGTGCAGAGGAGCCTGGGTGGGGAATTCAGGGGACCACACTTCCCTGTGGCCATGGGATAAAGGACCATGGGGAAAAAAGGGGGCATGGTGGCCAGCTAAGGGGCCTTTGGCTTTGTCCTGGAAAAAACAACAGAGAAGGACCAAGTGAGGGCCCCAACTCCCCCACCCACACCCCAACATAACATGCATATTCAGAGTACAGAGAGAGGCATCCAGTACATTCTATCTTTAAAAACAATGTTTTAACAGTCCCAGACGAACCTAAATTATCCTAGAGCAGCAGTTCTCAACCTCTAGCTCGTGACCCACAGGAACTGTATTAAAGGGTCACAGCATTAGGAAGGTTGAGAACCACTGTCCTAGAGTCTTTTGTATAATCCAAGCAATACACATTCAAAATTCATTTCTTTAATGGGGTCTTCTTTGATTTATTAAAGATTCCCCCTCCCTAGGAAAGACCACACTATCCTGGTAGCTCCTGATGTCCCCCAAAAAATACATTATAAAAAGAAAGAAAAGTCACCATATGTGAATCAAAGAGTTGCTTTCACATAGCAATTTTGGGGACATTCTGTAATAGCAAAGGGCTTCAACTAATCAGCACAGGCCTCCCACTCATGAATTCCATCTGACTCAACCCTGCTCCCAGCCTATCTAATCACCCAGGGCTTCAGGTTTCCTGGAGGACAAAAAGCAGGCAGAAAGTATTCTGGATAAAGTCTTCCCCCACTGTTCCCCCCACTGGGGGGACTATGGGTTACTGTTATTAATAAATACCTAAATATAAAATACAACTACACTGCCACCAAAAAAACCCTCAAATCTATACAAACACACAATAAAAATCAAGCAATCTTACCAGGGCTTGAAAACTCAGGGTGAGGTGCTGGGCTGAGGGCCAAGAGGAGGAGGGAAAGCACAGAATGGGAGGGGGTGAGGGCTCCAAGGATGGCTGCCAGGGCCTTCTGTGACTAAAATCCCTCCCATCTCCTGGCCAGGCACTGGAGACCCCTCCTGCTACCGGGGGCTCACCTTTGTACTGGGGAGTGAATTTGCGCATCTCAGCTGGAAGAGTCTCGTAGAACTGATGTTCCCTTGGGACGAGGGGCTTGCACAGGGTTGTCTCATTGAAGCGGAGCACACATGAGTGCCCCCCGACCTGGTGGACAAAGGGCTCCAGCAGGATGCCCTTGGCACGGGGCTCCATGTCCATGGCCCTGAAGGCCGGGCTCATCCTCTGGGTGCAAGTGGCAGGGAGAAGGGGGAGGTGGCAGGGTCCAGCAGCCAGCACGTCCTCTCTCTGTTGTCTGTGCCTGTGTCCAACTGGTCTTGGCTTCTTGGCTTGTGCAGGCCAGGATTCTCTGCTGGAAACAAAACACAATGATGACTTGGGGATTGGAAGCTGCCTGCCAACAGCCTCATAGCAGCTTGCCTCGCTTCACAAATAGCCTAAGTTCACGCAGGGCTCTGCCCACTCCATTCACCCTGGCCCCATCTCCTCCCACAGAAGAACAAAACACTCAGCTCATTGGGTAGGACCAGGTGCAGATAGGCAGGAAATAGGTTCAAGGGACCCCTAAAGAACCACAAGCCTCCCCCCAAAGCCTCAGTGTTAGAAAGCCACTCTTTCAGGCAAAACACAATACTGCCACAAGGTAAAATCACAATTTCAAATTAAATACTTGGATTAAATCTTACCATTTTCTAATAAAATTGTCAAGCTTAAGGTGAATGACATCCAAATCATGCCACTAATTATATTTTTATTAAATGCATTTAAATACAGGGAAAACCTGCTTGGCACGTAATACAGTTAAGATTTGCATGTCCAGGGAGGCGCCTGTGGCTCAGTGAGTAAGGCACCAGCCCCATATACTGTGAGTGGTGGGTTTGAACCTGGCCCCAGCCAAACTGCAACAAAAAAATACCTGGGCTCTGTGGCGGGCACCTGTAGTCCTAGCTACTCGGGAGGCTGAGGCAAGAGAACAGCCTAAGCCCAAAAGCTGGAGGTTGCTGTGAGCTGTGACGCCACAACACTCTACCGATGGCAATAAAGTGAAACTCTGTCTCTTAAAAAAAAAAAAAAAGATTTACTTGTCCAGGTTAGCCACATATACCACCCACGCCCAAGGCCAAAGACAAGCCCCGTTAACCTTATTAGCAATGGAGCTTGGACCCAGATTTAAAATGATTAATGTCTGTATCTTAAAACAACCAATTGAGGCTGGCTAACTCCATTTAAAAAGACACACAGTGTTCTAGGTCACCTCCTATTTTTACCAGTTCTATCTTGATTTCCAAAAGCTGGGGCACAAACCAAAATTGCACTCCAGGAGCAATTGGGGCTCTCATCCCCTCTTACCAGGTCTAGGGCCTTAGAACCTAGCCACACACTAGATGTGTACTTATTAGCAAAGCACACCTGTGTATGTACCCTGTTAACCATTTCAGGGCACATAAAGCTAGTTCTCAGTTTTGTCCAAATTACAGACTACACAATCTCTACTAGCACTACTTATAGGGTTTGAACTACATTTCATTATGTGTATAGTGATCTTACTGGGAACTGACTCCAACTGAGATGATAGCAGCGAGGATATATCTGCTGAAGATGTGTCTTCTGTCTCTTATGTGGATAAAGCACCTATTATTATGTACCAGACGCCTTATAGGACCTTCTTACAACATTTGGTCCTCATGACACTTTCTATAAAACAGATACTACTCTCCTTGTTATAAACAAGCCAATTAGGGGAGGTTAGGAAACTTATTCAGGGCCAGGGACAATAAGCTACAGCTCCCAAGTGAACCCCAGATTGTTGGATCCCCCCCACGGCTTCCTCTAGAGCCCACAGTCTCCAGCACTACTGCCTTGGTAGGGCATTCTTACTATACATATGGGTCATTAGCTTATCCCATAGAGTGTTCTCACCACTTATTTATATTTTTTGTTTATAAGGTAGCCTTTATTTTCTTAAAATAATTCAAGCTAGTGTAATCACTTCCTTTCAGAGAAAACCTGACTGTGGGTCCAAACTGGACTCAAAGATTAGGAATCAATTGGGCAGCACCTGTAGCTCAAAGGAGTAGGGCGCCGGCCCCATATGCCAGAGGTAGCAGGTTCAAAACCCAGCCCCAGCCAAAAACTGCAAAAAAAAAAAAAAAGATTAGGAATCAATAAGCTTTCCTATGTGCAAAGAGCAGAGAACCTAAGGCCCTGATTACCTGGCACTGTCTTCACATCACCACAAGAGCCTTCAGGAGGTCATATAGTAAGAAGAGTCCAGAAACTCAACATGGGCAATGCGACTGTAAATTTGAATACATTCTAGCCATTTTAATTTTTTTAAGAGACAGGGTCTTGGCTTGG